AAAATGATGACTCATTTTCTTAAGGTTTAACCTAATCTTCATTAAAATTTAAAGAAAAAAACAGTGATTGCAACAGCACACTCCAAAAGCCTAACATAGACCACATGATTATGATGACTTTCAAATCACTAAAAAGCTCACTTTGGCAAATAATATTTGCCTAACAAGGAACAATGTGTTTTCATTCATTACAGAATGGTTGCTTTTCCCAGTAACCCTTATTAATATGAGACAAAAGTGGAAATAAATCTTCACTGTATCCCTGAAAGAGGGACGGGATGGAATGTTTTCTCAAGATAATGTTCATCCACAACCTCCTACAAAACTCCCAAACTTTCAGGAGTTGGCAACATACTATCACTTGTGAAGGGAATACAGGGATGATAAGTGCATGGTAACAGCCACTGACATTTATTAAACTGTATGTGCTCACCACTGTGCTAGGAAATGCAGTGCGTTACCACATTTCACTTCATCCTCATAACCCTGTGAGGCAGGTGGCGTTGTTATCCTGAATTACAAATTAGGATTGGGATTAACTAATTTATCCAAGGCCACCAGGACCCAAACCCAGCTGTCTGACTTCACAGTCTAAGCTCCGTAACTGGAGAAATAAAAAAAAAGCAGGGGATATGCCTATCATGATCAGTGAGAAACACACAAAGAGAACAGGCAAAGACTATCCAGACTATCCAGACAGAAGGAATATTATGTGATATATAAAGAATTTTAATCCAATGGAAGAACCCTGGATTGGACATCAGGAGGCCCGGGATCCCTTCCAGGGGAGCACCAGTCTGACCAAGGGGAAACCAATTCTCCCCTCCAGTCTAATAGAAGAACACACGCACATACAGAACAGAGGCGTGGTAAAGATAAAATGCTAAAGTAAAAGTAAAACTAAAAAAAAAAATGTTAAGGAGAAAATAAAACTCCAGAACATCGTATCAATAAAAATGTAATAAAAAAAATGAACAGTTAAAAAGTGAATGACAAAATGAAAAATGCATTATAAATTCCACAGTCATGGACAATGCCAAGGTAGAACTTAAAACTACAAATAAATGAATGATAAACATTATCTTAAAGGCTTATAGAATGCCAACACAGTTCTCAGGAATCGTTCTTTTCCATTCTCTGATCGCATCACTGACACCTAACGTCACAGGAAATGCTTCCAGTGTTAGTGGGTTCTGCTGTCCTTGCTGTCTGTTGTAGAAGACATGTGTAAAACCGTAACCATGGTAAAAATTAGCCTGATTGAAGGTAATTAAAAAATACATGTGCGTGTGTGTATTTTTAGTTTATTATATCTGTTTATTTCAAACTGAGACCTGGAAGAGAGGAGCCCAGCTATTCTGTGAGACCAACAGAAACTGTGCGATAATAAATGGGCATTGTTTTAAGTCACTGTTTGTCGTACTTTGTTAGGTAACAAAAGAAAATGAATACATGAGGTGATTTAGACAACCACAAAAATAAGACAATCATTATCTTCAGAGATGGTGGCAAAGGACTGTGCAAGAAAGGAAAAGTAATGATCATGCAGGTAGGGCTTAACCATGTCCGCAAATCCTCTTGACTCTACTCAGTGGTGTTTACGTCCTCTCCCCTAGAAGCTCAGCCAGTCCTAGCCACCCGCTCATCATCAACAGAATATTACTCAGTAACTGCCCAGGTTTAGCCAGCTTCTGCCCTGCTCTCTAGAACTTCATTCTAGAATCCACTGTACTGGAGAGTCTGGTAGTGGGTTTGGGGGCAAAGCACAGCCTTTTCACTTTCTGTTTACTAATTATCAGTTTTCCTTGGACTATTGTCCCATGTCAATATATCAACCTTAGAAATTCCCTGGAGTGAAGGAGTGGCTGCAGCAAAGCAGAACTTAGCTGTTCCTGGATTCCTCAGCTGTACCACTACTACACCGGGCCATTCACCTTTGACATGAAGTAGCCAAAAGAGCAGCATCAGTAGCAGTCACTGTAATCCAGGCAGGTGGGAAATTTAAATATTTAAAGATAGGGAGGATTGTTAATTACTGGTTGAAAACTTTCATTTTATACCTTGGAAAGCTTATACCCTAGAAAAGTTCTATTCCATTTTATTCCCTGGAAAGACTGATTTGCTGTAAAACTCTAAGCAATCTGCCTAACATTTTAGCCTCTACATTTCTAGTCCAACAAACCTCAGAAACAATATTTACTGGAGTGAAGAAATTTCTTGAACTTATTTCAACAAAATGTCTTCTCATGCCTACATAAACTTTCACCTTTATTAATTAAAATCAGCAAATACTTATGGATAATGTACTATGAGGTAAAATATAGGGCAGAGTCCCTGTCTTCGAGGAGGTTATAATAAATATTAAGTACCTAACTAAACAGAAGGCAGAATACAGTTAGTTCTAGAAGAAAGGTACAATAGAGGAGACTGCATACAGTTGAAGGTTTAAGAGCTGTACAGAGGATTTGAATAACCATTCCCCAAATTTTTCAGTTTTCACACCACATCCTAGACCTTGTCTACCTGAAATTATTCCATCCTTCACCTAAATTTTGGAACCCTCTTTCAGACTAAACTCCAGATCCCTGTTGAGGGGAAACCCTTATTCCCCTCCCCTGCAGGTCTCCATGGAGTGAAGGATTATTGCTTACTCCCCAGGGAGGGCATGTGGTTCATCTGACTAGTCACCCTACCCGATCTTCACTTGAGAGGAAGGAGGAATAAGCAGCATTTTGGCTTTAGGCCTGCAACAGTTTATCAGAAGTTCTGTATTTAGTGGTTGTTGGGTCCCATTCAGCTGTGAGTAAAGCTGCCCCTTATTCCTTGTGTTACATTCTCAAAAACTGAGAACCTAAAGGGAGAAGATGGATGAGTTATGGATCCCTCAAACATTCACAATCCAGTATGCCCTGCCCTATAACCATCAACCCTGGATCACTTTAGTTGTTCTCTACCCCTATCGTAAAGAAAATGCTGTAGGCATTGGAAAAGAGAACATTACTAAACCTGGCCTCCAATCTTTGGAAGACACTACTACCTTGTAATCTTCTATAGGTCCCTGTTTCATTTCATTTCTCATTTTCTACAGGAGCTCCTCCAAACCTAAGTTCTCACTCATAGCAGATGATCTTGTCTTTAATTTCACTGAGAAAACATCAGTACAGTACTTGGGTTTGAAGTATATGATCCGCCCGCCCATACACGTTCCTTCTCCTCGTCAGAGCTTATCTCCTCCCTGTGCTCTGGGTCCCAAGCCCCTAAGCTTACCTACAACCATGCTCCACCAATTATCCCCTCTCCCGAAGCTTCAACTTATGATTCTAACAATTCTTTCCTCTCTTCATACAGACTCAAAACCCATTTTAAAAACAAAACAAAAGAACAACCACAACAAAACCAAAACCCTCTGCCTACCTGAACATTCTTCTGACTATACCGGCTCTCCTTGCAACAGCCACGCTTTTAGAAAACGTCACCTACGCTGGCTGCTCCGCCTTTCCACTTCACATTTGCAGTGCCCCTGAATGCCTGCCCACCCTCCCCTGAACTATTCACATCCATGTAACCAACTAACCTCCAAGCTAAGTAATTCAACAAATGCTTTTCATTCTTCTTGGACCTGACCTCCCTGCAGCACTTGATGTTTAACAACTTCTGTCTTGAAACTCTCTTCTACTGGCTTTTCATGACATCATTGCCTCTTGATGCTCCCTCTACATTTCAGCATGCTCTCTTCTCAGTCTTTATTGGTCAAACTTTAAATTTCAACATTTTCCCAGAATTTTATTCCTGGCTCTCCTCTCCTCAAACTACTCTCCCTGGGGAGAGGGGAATTATCCCACATGCCCATAAATTAATAAAACTAAATCTGAATTCACTTGCTTCCTCCCTCACCCGCACGCCTACCGGTGCGTACCTCCATCTGTGTCCATCTGTCTGCCATGCCCTGGCATGCTTGGGTGAGGAACATAACCACTACTGTCAGTAGTGGTGGCCTCCAGGAGCAGGCACTGGGAGTGTGGGTGGGGATGCAAACAAAGCCAGAGCAATGTATTTTAGGGGACCTAACGAATACGTATGTAGTGACAGAAAGTACCCCCAATGGACTTTACTGGACTAGACTCTGAATATCTTCAGTTAAGTGATATATATATATATACATTCATCTCTGAATCTCTTGTGGTTAAGCACAAGTGCCTGGCACACAGTGAGTACTCAACTCATATGTTTTTGAATGAAAAAAGTAGAAAAAAATCGGTATGAGATAAGCTCTCAGGAACTGGTAGAATTTCAACAGCTACAGACATAGGAAGAGTCCTGGGAGTTAGACGGAATGGGAAAAGCACAGCTACAGACAGAAATAGTGGGCTGCTGGGGTGGGTGTGCCAGGACAAATAATCACCAGCAACACTGAAACGCTCAGACATGCCATTTTACAAGACTTGAATATGCAGTTGCAGATTAATTTGATAGGCAATGGCAAGCCAGTGAGACCTTTTAAGCAATGTGATTTGCTAGTGCAAAGGAATTAACTGGAACAGAGGATACCTCTTAAGTAGCTACCAAATGAATTATCTAAGTGAGAAGAAATGAAGGCCTGAACTACAGCAACTGTCTAAACTACAGTAATAAAGTAAAAGTAGATAAGAGGAGAAAAACGTTATTTTTATAACTGAAGGCAAAAAACTAGCTTCTGGGATATTCAAGAACCATGGTATTAGCTCAAGTTTTAAACTTTAAAAAAGTGAAAAATTCATAGCACTAAAATTAAAAGGTCTAAGAAGGAAAAATATGTAAATATTCTCTAAAACAAAGATTTAATACATTGATTCACTGACCCAAACAATCATGAATGTACTTATCAAGTTCATTGTGTCAGTTAAGAACTCCAACACCTAGAAGGTGACACACGGTTAGTAACTGGAGAGGGCTTTCTGCACATGCTCAGGAAAGGTTTTTCTAAAAGTTCTGAATAAGGAGTTAGCAGAGTATCGCCGTACCGTGAAGCTGTTGTTAGCATTTTTTGTGCTTGCTTCAGCCACACTGGCATCTGAGAGGTCGACTTCATCAAATATCAGAGACTGTTAATGAAAAAGAGCATAAACACATTAAATTAAAACCTAACTCAGTGCTCCCCAATAACATTTTTTACTATCAGGTCATGACTATGAATCTATGTCAGTGTTTAGAAATAGAAAATGAAGAAAAAGTTAACTTAGTGATACTTTTTCTTCTTAGGAAGAGTGAGGAAAACCACAAAGTGCAACTAACCCATGAATCCAAACTTTTGGACTTTAAGGAACCCCGTGGCACAGTGTTCCAATGCAAAATGCTCTGTGCTTTCCAGAAGCATCATTTATGGAGAACCTACTAAGTGTATGACACACATACTCACACACACAGAACAGTATCTCTGAACTCCTAACAATTCTGCAGAAAGGCAGAGGCAACACACTGTCCCCACATTTGCTAAGTGAGAAATGAGAAAAACTAGTTCTGGCTCAAATCAAGGTGAGTTCCTGAACTTCCTGAACCTCATTTTCCTCATCTATAAATGTGTTCAAAGGAGATGATGAATGTGCTCTGCAAATACAAGATGATGCTTATTTTGTACTCTTAAAAGTGGTTTTAATAAAAAAAGTTTCAGTGGCAAAAACTCCCTAAAAATGGAATCTTTAAAAATGTACAATTTAGAGATTAGGAAATTCTAATTCACTATATATCCTTCCCACTTTTAGTCATTTGGTCATTGTCCACACTCACTCAATGTTCTCGCAGCAAAGCAGATGTAACAGTGCACCCCTAAAACTGCAGATAAGGAGGCCCTTTCTCTGATAGCTTCCACCATACCCCAAGATCTCCAGAGGGTTACACAAGTCCACGTGAATCCAAGCAATCTGAGCAAAAGACTTGTTCCCTGACTAGAAAAAACTTATAATCTAGCACAGGAGATGGAATAGGCACAAATAATTTAAATGTAATATAGACAATTAAAAGCAGAAGAGAAGAGATACTACAAAATGCTGTGAAAGGTCATAGATAATTTCTCCAGCAGAAAACACTTAACCTTTGCCTTGTGAATGATGGAATAAGCCTTTGAGGGGATAAAGAGAACAGAATTCTGTCAGGTGGAGACAGATGAGGCAAGGCTGAAATGAAGGCTATTGAGTGGTCGATGCTGCCTAGAGATAAATGGGAAAAATCAGGGTGGAGCCGGATCAGGACAGCACTGAGCATAATGACTTTCACAGTAAGATTATTTTATTTGGTTATTATTTCTACAGCTGCATAAACTAAGAATTAGTTTTGTTTATTTGTTTTTACCTCCTGCTGTATAACTCTACTAGTTATACATTTTTTAATATGGAATTATTAATTTTTCAACTGGCACAGTAGCAAGAAATCTTAACTTTTGAAGGAATACTCAACTACCAGTTTTAAATGAAGGCTCATCATATTTTTTGCCCAAAACTACATCATTCTTATTTATTCAACTGTTCTGTAAAAATTATTTAAAGCCTTGATTTTATTTCACTATGAGTTTTATTCTTAACTGCTAACATAACTGAATATTTCATGTCAGGCACTGTGTGAGCATTTCATGTGTATTATCCCATTTAAGCCTACTTTCACCAACAGGCTGTCCACAGCCACGCCACTGGAATGTGCCGGAACTGGGATAACAACTCTTGTCTGACACCAGAGCATGGATTCTTAGCGACTATAGCAATTTTCTCTCTCATGGTGAGAGAAAGATTTATAGGGTAAAAAGTAGCAAGAAAGGGAGGAAACCCAAAATTTTGAGTTTATTATATTTAATAAGTCTATACTTAATGTTTCATTTCCATTATGGAAATGTTCCATTAAGGAAACAAGACAGGAAGAAAGAAAAAACTATGTTAGAATCTTCCTATAAGATCTTCTTTAGGGGACATGCCATGAAACTGACTCAAACAGACTCCCTTGCCGTGGGGACTAAGATGGACCACATTTACGCTGAATTCATGTAAGAGCAGTAAGGTTACAGTGAGCCTCAAGACAAAAAACAGGTTGAAGAACCAACATTTTAAATCCATCCACAATCTAAAATGTTTGTAATTAATATTCTTTTGAATTACCTTTGAGTCCTTTGCATAATAGAGTGTACGACCTCGCAGTTTGAAGTATCGCTTTTTCCACCTTTGGAAAGAACTGGTTTGCTTCAATAGTTGTCCCTCTTTAATACTGGTCTGGGAAGAGACACAAGCACAACGACATGATTAAAGTGAAATTCAAAACCAGGTCAAATTCAGAATTAATGATACACTACCACTAACATTTTGAATATTATTTCCCATGTCCCACAAATTACATGAGGGAATATTTTCTTCAGCTTTCCGTTCAACCAAGAAAGTACATGTTCAAAGCCCTAAAGAGCAAAAGCAAATCTGACATAGTTCCCAGGCCTCCAAGCAATAACAAATAGTATGGAAGAGACATGAACATCGGCTAATGCTTGAAACAGAGTGTGATGCATCCACTGCCTTGCACATAGTAGATATGCAATAAATGGCACACAGAGTGGAGGTGCAATATGGGTAAGAAAGTCATGGGCTCAGGAGCAAGAAACCTTGTGTTCAATTCCTGGTGCCACTACGTAGTAACTAGATGATCTTAAGCAAGTTACTAAGCTTCATGCCTTTTTAACTCATTTATGAAATGGGGGTGACAATAGGACATACCCTTCAGGGTTGTTGTGAGGGTTAAAAACATGTAAAGGACTTCTTGCATGGCACATAGTAAGTGTTCATTAAATGTCAGTTATCATTAGCTATATGTTATTGTAACAAATACGTATTCAAAGCATGCGTCCAGGGAAGGACGCATCAGCTCTGCCTCAGAGGCAGTGAAAGAAGTCCTCACAGAGCAGAGCCTGGGTTGGGTCTTGAGATGGAAAGGGTGTTTTGATGTGTGTAAAGGTAGAAAGGTTTAAAACAACATGGGTATTTGGGGAATCTTCAGAGAGCTTTTGGTTATAAATTCAAGGTAGGGTTTGCAAGGGTAAGCAGCAGAAGATGTGACTGGAAATGATAGGCAGGGGCTGTGTGCCTTTGGGCCAGACCTTGAGCTAAATACTTCATCTATGCAAGTTCACTTCACAGTCACCAGCAAAATACTTGGAACCCCTCTGTCCACAACAGAGCTTTGCTTCTCAGTGGCCTGCACACTCCTCCCTTAGGTATGGACACTCTTTACTCTGTCCTTCTGAACTGCTCTCCCCTCAGATGTCCATCTGTACAACTTCTTCACCTCCTCCAAGTCTCTGACCTTCTCAGTGAGATGACCTCACTGACCTCCCTTTTAATAATACAACAGGCTCTTCATTTTCCCCGCCACCTTGATCTTAGTTACTCCCCCACACAGAGTACTCTGCATCTTCTAACATATAATGTAATTCACACATTTATTATGTTTATTGTGCTACTCTTATTAGAAGGCCCCTGAGTTTATTATATCTAATAAAGTTAAATATAATGTTTCATTTTAATTGGAAGGGAAGAAGAAAGGATGTAAGAATGAAACTACCCTTATAGCAAACTAAACTTTCAGTCTTGCTGTGAGATTGTCCTTAGGAGACATATCACAGGACTGGTTCAATTAGATCTTGGGATGGGGTCCAAGATGGATCACATTTATACCAAATTCAAAGAACAGTAGTAAAGCTATAGGAAGACTTCAAGACAAAAACAGTTTACAGAACCAAAATTTTAAATCCACCCCACTGGATTGCACACTGACATATCTCAAGTGCCCAGAATATTATCTGGCACATAAGATACTGAGATCTATATGAATGAATAGTTGGTACTGAGGTTAAACCCAGGTCTGTTGACTCCAGACTTTATTCCCAACTTTTGCACTATACTATCTTTTATTATCAATAAGGCATAAAATATTAAGAAAAGTTTGTTGTCATAGTTACATTATATTGATGTTTACTTTCAATTTCAGATAAGAGATTTTCTCAATAACTCACTTTGAGACTGTCCTCCAGTAATTGTTGTGAGATCATTACAATTTAATGGTAACAAAATACTTTTGAAACTTCAATACACCAAAGAACTCAATTTGTAGTCAGACAGACAGACTTCAAGTCAGGCTCCACCACACACTTAACAACATGAACCTGGGCCAGTTACTCCAGCTCTCTGTGCCCCAGTTTCTGCTCCTCCAACATGGGAATAATAATGCCAACTTCATAAGCTTGTTGCATCTAATTTAATTATACAATAATGCCTGGAGAGCACTTGGCACACTGTCTGAGTTACAGAAAACACTCAGTAAATGGCAGAAAGTGTTATTATTATGATATCATTAGGCTATTAAGTTCAGAGAGTGTTTGCCAGGCACCAAATTATAAGAGCTTCTTGACAGAAGGGCGTATATGTTTGCAGGCCACTCTGAGGGCAAATAACAGCTGGAGCAGGAGAGTGTCAAGAGATGAGGTTAGGGGAGATTTGCGCAAGGAGATGCTGGCCACAATGGGCAGTCTGCCTTTTACTGTAAGTGCAAAAAACTAACAAAATGTGTGAAGCAGGAGGGTGAGATGAGGAAATGGGTGAGAAAGCAGAGCACCAACACGAAGCAGCTGCAGTATTTCAAGGGAGACACTAGGAGCTCGAACTAAGGTTGTAGCATTAGTAAGATGGAGAGAAGTAGAGCAATTTGCGGTGTTATTTCAGAGGCAGAATCTGCTGGACTTGCTTGCTAATAGGCTGAAGGGCAAAAAAGAGGAGACAATCAAGGAAAAGTCTCCGCATTTGGCTTCAGCAACTAGATGCAAAGGACAGAGAGAGAAAGGGGTTAGAGTGCATTATGTGGTGAGCTGCATTGCTGTCCTGCTATAATATCTGACGATACCCAGGGTAGAGAGCCTATCATTCTTAAATCCACACAGAGAACTGACACACTGTACAAATTGAACTTCCAATGATACTCCAGTAATAGAACTAAGTGTATCAGGGTTTTTGTAAAGTACCGTTTAAGGCAATGAGGAAGAAAACTTCATGTTTGGCCTATTTATGTTCTATAAGCACTGTTTTAAGAAAGCATTAATTCCTACTTCATTCTCCACACGGTTATTAAAGTAATTTTCTAAACTGAAAACCTGCTTATATTATGTCCCAGCTAAAGCCCTTTGTTAGTTCTCTTTTGTCTGCAGCATAAAGTCCAGACTTCCATACATATCAGTGAAGACCTCTGCAGTGCCCCAGCATCATTGCCTGCCCTGCCCATGTTCCTCCCTCTACCCAAATGTCCCCTCCTCAGTGTGCCAGTTCTGAAAGCACCCATTCGTCCAACTCTGATCCAGGGCCACTGCCCCTCTGGCAGCTTCTTTGACCCCCAGGAAAAAGTGATCACCCCAGCTTTGTCCGTCTAAGGCACCCTTATCCAGTGTGTGTAACTGCACCCATGCCATGGAATGGAATCAGTTTACGGGCTGTGGCCCCACCATGCTGTGATCTTCAGAAGAGCAAAGACTGCATCCTGTGTATTTTAATAACATCACTACCTAACACATTAACTGACACCTTAGGGCCACCATAAATGCTGAACTGAACATCTTTAAATGTAAAACAATATGTGAGGTAACTTTGGATTTTAAAAGAATGAAACAATCAGAACAGGTAATAATGGCTGGAAACGATTTTATAGTTTCCAGCATTTAGCCCATCTGAGTCTGTTTCTTTTCATGTGTTTAAAAACAGCAGATATAATGAACAAAGGTGTATGTGCTCCTAAATGCACACTTTGGGAGAACTAGGCAGAGGGATAGGAAAAATGTCTGCCTATCCTGATTGCAAGAATATTGTTAGTTTCAAGATGGTCCTTACATAGTTAGATTCAAAGCATATAATGTATCTGTTTTTTTCTATATAACTTTATGTTCCTTAAATCTTCTATAAGCCATGGGTTAATCTGCAATGTGTGTGGCTGTGGGGAATACAAATATGTGTAAGATACAGTCCTTATCTTCATGCATTTACAAACTTCTCTGTTATAATATACAAACAGTTCATTTTCAATTCTTAAAGAAAAAAGAAGAAAGCATTCTAAGGCTAGCTTGTTTTACTAAAAGAGACATGATTTAAAAGATTTAACTGGGAGGCAGTTATTCACATGAAAGTTAATACTCAAAATAAACTTCTGTTTATATATGGCTAGCTAAACAAACACTTCTTATAAAAGAAGGAGCATAACAAAAAATCGTTAATTTGCAACAACCCTAGCAAATATAAACATATAATCAAAGTGTGGTTCAGAGAAAGACATGTGTTATTCCAAAAATCTCAAAAAAATACAATGAGAATGCTAAGTGAAAAAATGGAATCATTCTTTAAAATTATAACATTTATTACGTTCAATATTAATGTTCAACTAGAATAACACATTGAAGTTAGTAAGACATAAAGTTATCATCAGTTATAATTAAGAATGTGTCAAATTTAAGCATTAAATTTTAATTTTATTTTGTACACAATCTCTAGGATAAGGGATTGAACCAAACTCTCCCCTCCCTCAAAAAAGGGCTTAGAAATTTACATTTAACTGCATTTAGTCATACAGTCTGGCAGATAATAGTTTAATACTTTCTGGCCCTTACGAATAGTCAGTAAAACCATATCTAAGAATCCAGTTTTCAAATATTCAAAGGAAAAAGTTAAATGAACTTGGCTTTGAAAAACTTTTCAATACAGTGAACTTTAATTTGAAAGATCCTTAACTAGCTGGCTTTCTGAGACTGTTCAGTCTAATGTCTTAAAGCTGTGGAACTGTTCGTTTCACACTCCTTGCTTAGAGCAAACAGAAGTAATTTCTCTTTTAAATTACACATACGGGGGCTCTAGGATTTCACCTAAAATTTCAGAAACACATCTGTGTCACAAGCTGAAGTTCCTCTGAAAGAATACTACTTTAATGTGCTGAGGAGTGTGCAACTTTACAAAGAGCCATTTAATGAGCCTTTTAGTAAAGCTAAGAATCTTTGAAAAGTCAGATAGTTGATGCCCAAGTTATCTGATAAATGTACATTTTCAAATGTTGGCTTTTTTTAGGCCATCCAATAGGTTTGGCAAAAAGCGTGAAATGGTGAAGTGGAAATGTCAGTGATGACTCATCTTTTACAGATGCTTTCAAAAATTCCAGAAGAATCTCTAGCTCCTCCTAGTCTTGTCCCAATATGACCCCT